CCTGGCTCTCAGTCTGCATGTGGCCCAACACAGCTGAAACTGTGGCCTGGCTGCTGCTTCTACTCCCCACCAAGCATCCTCACTCGGACCTGGGAGCACACCCACTTCTCAGCAACAGCCAAACATCAGTGTGCTATTAATGTATTTTGAGTTGCAACTAGGGCACAGGCAGGACACAGTGCAGTACCAGCTCAAGTTATAGCAAATAGTTGTGTACATTTTGATTCATTGGTTACACACAGTCCTGTGAACAGTGAAAAGTACACAGCTGTGCTTTCCATTTTGGTAATTTGAGAACTGGTTTCAAGATTGCAAAAAAAAAAAAAAAAAAAAAAATCATATTTTTTGTATTTGAAACTTCATTTTCAGTTGACATAAATTATCAAATGGAGTGCATAGAGTTGCAGTCAAATAACATACCATTTCTCTTTGCTTTTACAAGCCTCTCTTATCAGTGAAAAACATTCCTCACTTTGCAATCACATCTTACTCTTGCCATCATTTTTTGGCAGTATGCACATTTGTGAACAAATATTGTCAAGGATAAAGCACAGTAAGAGAAAAATTTTATCAAAAATCTCCAATAAACACCTTGGGACCTCACTAAGAACTGTAGCCACTGATATCAAACCAGATAGTGACGCATTCCTTTCACTAAAACAAGGTCACATATCCCACTAGTCTGTATTTTTGTTGCTCTCTTTTTAGTTTAATTAAAGAATATTAAAGATTAAAATGAATTTTGTTACTTATATACATGAACTATATTTTATATTTTATGAGGGCTGCTCCAAAAGTAATGCCTCCTATTTTATAGTGTTGGCCCATGATATCAGCAGTGGATGTTGGTGGTATGGCAGTAGAGGCTGAATCTTCCTGCCAATATTCCCTTACGTTTTTTTGCTGTGCAACAGTTGGCAGCAGAGGAGCAGTTTGACAAAATGGTGTCTGACATGAAAGTGAAGATGAAGCAAAGGTATGGAACTGAATTCCTTCATGTGAAAAAAGTGGCACCCATTAACATTCATTGACACTTGAATGTTTATGGAGACCAAACCATGGATGTGAGCATGGTGAGGGGTTGATGGTGTATTTCAGCAGAGAAATGTGTGTCAGCTACAGAGAAGGCAAGTCACCTTCGCTACTGCAGATTTTTATGAGTGCAGCATGAATGCTCTTGTTCATCACTGGCAAAAAATCATAGTTGATGGAAGTGACTATGTTGAAAAATATTGTTTTGTAGCTCAGAATTTGCTCTATCAAATATTGTGATTATGCTCTTTGTATCAATTGTAGTTTCCATGGAAATAAATAGGAGGCATTACTTTTGGGGTGACCTTTGTGTATGAGGCTCAAGATAATTCCTGTTCACTCAACACATCACAGGACAGCCAAAAGGTTGGACACCCATGAGTTAGAATCTGGAACAAAGGGAGAACAAACAGGGAAGCCAGTAACCTCAGGTACATACAGTTGTCTAATCTCATACCTAGAAGTGCTGTCACATACAGCATCAGTGTATCCTGCAATGTTTTATTTTAAACTTGCTTCACAGGGGTGTCTATCCCATATAGACGCATCAGTACACATTACAGAAACCAGCTTCAGGGAAGTGGTAAGTGTGGTTCTGAGGTGGCTATATCATTATGAGTATTTTAACATAATTTTACTTGCTTTTCCATCTCAAAATTCCATGATTAAAACATCATGTTTCATTTATGTATAATAATGTATATTTCATATACAGTAATAAAAATAAGTGAAGGTTAAGTTGCTCCTCTTAACATTGGTGCTGTGAAAGTGGGAGTGAAGCCAATGGCACTGACCTTGTTATTGAAGGGATAGAAACAAATTCTTGATGATTTCTAAGGAAAAACAAGGGAGACTTTGCAAACATCTCTCTGTAGAGGCTTTAAACAATAGTAAAGGTTTTTTCCCAGGGTTGAGTTTCTCTATTCCTTTGGCATGCTTTCATGAAAGGGCTGAGTCTTTGAGGTTATCTGTAATGTGCTTACACTGAAACCATTAGCATGCCTGTTGGCTCAGTACTCTTTACATACTTTTTCTGTTATTAAAGAGTGATTACAGATCAGAAAAGGAGGAACTTGGAGATGAGCTACTGCACTGAGATGAAGAAAAACAGGGCTCTGGCCCCTTTACATGCCATTTCAGGAAAGGAACATGCTTCATGTTTCTATTATCCCCATCCTACATACTTAATTCACGATCTCTTTGAGCAGAGGTGGTGTATTTCCTTCTGTATGTAGGTGCAGCAACACTGTGGAGTAATGGCCTAAGCAAGAATGCTTCTGCACTGCCAGTTGCATGCTTTTAAATATTTGGTAAGACTATGAATAAAAGAATTAAAAATATTGTATGGCAACTTATAAGTTTTTGAGAAGATCGAGCACAGAAATGCATCAGTTTTTGGTAGCACTGCCTCTCAGCTTCCTGATGACATGTGCCTACTTCTGTGCCTCTATGTTAGTGATTTCCAGTCACATGGAATGACATTCCCTTGCACTACTGACAGGATCAGGAAGAAACTTCCTTCAACAAACAAGCTGTGAGAACTGCAGCATGTATGTAAAGAGTATTCTGTCAAAAGCTGCAAAAAACTGCTTGGTTTGGATGCAGCTCTGGGGTATAAGGGTATTTTTAACTGTCTCAAAGAATTAATGTAAGACTACTTTTAAGACCAGGTCTAAGCATGCCAACTGAAGACATTTTAAGAGAAAACAAAGCACTGTCAAATAGATTGTCATCTGTTTTAATAAGAGATTAAGTGCTACTTTGAAAATTTTATTGAAAGTGAATGGGTGTGGTATCAGACAAGGCGTGTTATTGTCAGTAGGCATGTTTGTAGCCATCCCAGTAAACAATTTACATACCTGTTCTCCACTGGCAAGCACTTCCAGCCTGAAGGCAGAGCATCAGCTTAGTTCCACCAGCACCACTTTGGTTCCATACTGCGTCACCACGAAGTACTGCAGGATCTCTGCATGCCTCCTCTTCATCCTGGACCTCTCATGAAGTTCATGGAGGAGTCCTGGGCAGAAGTTTTCCCTCTCCAAGACAAATCTACACTGGGGAACAATGGCAGAGGGCTCTCACAGGTTTGCTAGAAAGCCGCAGACTTGACCTCACAAGAATGCTGTAGGTCATGAGAGCTGTATAAGCAAAAAGTTTGGCGAACTATCATGAAGGTGCTAATCTGCCTAACCCCTGCAGTTCTTCATCTCTTTTGTCTGAGAACTCTGCCTTCTTTTTAAGCTGGAGTAGTGATCTTTGTGCAAAATAATCCAATTTATTTTGATATGCTATGCAGGAAATGAACTCCTTTACATTAAGGATGCAAAAACTTGATGGTGGTGCCGGATTCATGCAAGTATTTGGCCTGATATGAAACCAGGAGGATTGCTGCTGTCTGTTCCAGGAAGCTTTCCCTGGGTGAACCAAGGCACATTACTATCCCCAGCATGAAGTAAGACCCCCAAGTTTATGAACAAAATAAAGGATGAAGATTATGAAAGTCTGTAAAGATAATTATCCTCACTGTGTGGAGGTAGAATATGTGAAATAACGTATGTAATTTTAAAGTAATATTTGCCTTCTTTACTAAATACAAGACCATGTATCCCTTTGAATTGTGTACAAGCTGTGTTTCTGTTTTCCATTGGCCACTTCTCTCAGAACCTGTGCTCAGTCCAAGAGCTTGCTGGTAGACTGAAAATGCTGTTTTAACCAGTACTGTGAATTCTGCACCTCATCTGTGTCCTGCAAGGACATTGCTCAGAAGAAACTTTGTTTATCAGTTATCTGCTGAGTGAAAATGTGGCAAAAAGCAAAACTATTGAAGAATGTTGTTTCTGCTAGGCTAAACTCTGCTGAGTTACACAAAGTTAACTGTATTTGAAATCAACAGATTCAGCCTTATTTGATAGCTGCATTTCATCTCTTCCACAATGGCAATGGGAAAAGGAACAAAGTGTATCAGCACTAGAAATATTTTAATTGGACTAGGATTAAATGCAATTGCCTTGTCTTAAGAGATCAGTTTATCAAATCCACTGTCTTACTTGCAGTTAAAAGCCAGCCAGCATGCCTCTGGCTCTTTGAAACAGCATTGGTGCCTGGAATGAAACATGTATGAGAGGTGCTGTCCATTTGCCACTTCCAGCCTCACCTGTGAATGCTTGTGGCTGCTCAAGCAGGAGTTTATGGCAGCATGATTCTAGGATTGTGAGGCTGACAGTATTTTTTTACCTCTACTTTGCTATAAATAGGAGAGTGAGCAGCCCCAGATGTAATGCTTCTGCTCTGGATGTAAGGATTTCCTTTGCCAAATTCCTAAAGTGAAAGTGGAGATTTAATCAGTCTTTACACTTTTATATTTTTTAAATTATTTAACTTTTATTACTGTTGCACCATTTATACAATTACATATAATTTCAATGCATCCATTGTACATTTTGTTTTTTTCATTTGTTTTCCAATGAGTGTGTGTTGGTGTCTGTGACACAGAATGGAAGAGAAACTGGAACTGCAATGAACGCAGACTTTTCATTTCCACTGACCAATAAACAGAACTACAGGTGCACCCAACCACGGACATGCATTAACTCGTCATGAGAAATCTAGGAAGGCTAAGTAGGATGAGAATGCTTTTTACTCCCAAAAAATATTTGGAGAGGAAGAATTGGAGGATTGGCATTGAGAAATATGTGGACAGCTAAGTGGGTTTTGTCTGAAAGTTGGCATTCATCCACTGCATAAAAAAAATATCAAAATAAGAAAGGCTGTAAATAAAAAAACCACAGAAAATACTGCTTTCATAAAGATCTGATTGCCTTGGCACAAACCCAGTGGGCAGAATCAAACGCATCACTCCCAAACCCCATTACAGAACAAAAAGAAGATTTTGATACATTGGTGGAGTGCATTTACAGCAGTTCAGATACAAAAGATGTGCTGTACTTTCAGACATCCATCTATTTTACTTTTTTTTTTTTTTTTTTAATCCAGGACTTGTGTCAAGTTGGCAGAAAGTATATTAGATATTTCCCCACAAAAATACTATTTGGATTCTCCCCCCTCCCTCCCTCCCAACTTGATGGGACATCCTTTTCATTTTTTTCCTTTTTTTCCTTCTCTTTCTGGGCAATACTTTTTGTTATTTCAGATCTGAAACGAGTTAGTATAGCTGAAAAAATAAAAAAAAGACACAGGTTGTTTTAAGTGGTTGTTTCAACAGGCTGTCCAATTTAATCTTGCACTGCTATGGTTTGATCCGAATTAGTCGCTGGGGCTTCAGAAGGTTTCGCTTCCTCTGGTGGGGCTGATGGGTCCGAGGCCTTGGCAGTGGAACTAGGTGCTGCTGTGGCTGCTACGGTCTCCTTGGAAGAAGGTGCAGCCTCGCTGCTGCTAGGTTTTGAGTCTGAAGCTGGGGCCACTTCGCTTTTAGTTTCTTGGGCTGCAGGCGTTGCGGGAGCCTCAGTCTTTTTGGCTTCCCCTTCCTCTTTGCTCTTGTCATCTGCTTTGCTGGGAGCTGTGGCTTCTGAAGGCTGGGAAGCTTTTGCATCGCTGCTAGGCTCAGAAGTTTTGGGTGCTTCGCTACTGGCAGCAGGAGCAGAGGCTGCAGCTGGCTCCTCTTGCTTGGGTGCCTGTTCGTTGTTCTTCTGTGGCTCTACTTTCGCATCAACAACAGCCTCTGACTTCTCTGGTTCTGCTTTCTGGGCTTCTTCTTGGGTCACTGTTTTCTCTTTCTCCCCTTCTTTTTCTTCTGTCTTATTGGCAGCGACCTGAGCATCCTTCTCGACCTTCTCCTCTTTGTTGTTCTCCTTCACTTCTGTGGTCTCTGTGGTTTGTTGGGCATCCTCAGCCTCCTTTGGAGTCTCCTCTTCCTCAGTTGCTGCTCCTTCAGCCTTCTTGTCTTTGTCTTTAGCTTTTTCATCATTGACACTGTACCCCTTCTTCTTCTTGCTCAGTTTGCCTCCCATGTTGGAGCTCTGTAACAGAAAAAAGAAAGAGGTGGTTATTCAAAGTGTTTATCACCAGGAGAATCAAAAGCAGATCAACTGAGTTACAGGAAAACCAATTCAGTCTCCTGAAACAGGGACTGCAACCACTGGGTTGGCTGCTAGCAGCCAAGCACACCCAGCGTGATGAGCACCGCTGCTGCCAGGCTGCCACCCCACTCAGCCCCACAGCACTGCAGCCCCAGAACTACTGCCACATCCCCAATGGACAATCCTGCTTCAAGACCATCAAGAAAAGGGCATCACACACAACGAGGACCTCAGCCGCATCACACCTCATGGTCACGCACAGCGAAATCGATACAGATCAGAAGTGCTGAGAACAAACGACAGCAAGATATCTGCCCCTCAGCAAGGCAGCTAAAGTAACATGAGTACTTCTGAATGATGTGTACTGCATGATATCATGCAATAAAAAGTAGAGAGGAAAAAGAGGAGTGCATGCTTTCACCCATGTTTTCAAGCATCAGGTGCACGGTTTGGCTGCTTAGTAGAGCTGATATGGTTACAATTGTTGAGCACGTGTAACTATATCAGTATTTATATACCCTACGTGTGGGAGTCTTCACTAAGAATATTTAAAAACTTCCACAGTTCCTGGAAGCAAATTGAATCTATTAAAACAGGAAATGCTTGCAGATACATTGCTTCCCTCATGGACTTGAAAATCCCTAGGATTGCCTAAAAGATAGTATCTATGTACTAAAACAAAGGTGTTGTTCATCCTCAGCAAAAGGTTAACAAAACCATAATTTCCTTGCTTCACGCTATTTGAAAACAATTGAAAAGGAAATTTTTTCACAATACTGCTAAACAAATATGTAAGAGCTTCTCCAAGTGGAGATGAATCATTCTCAATTTCTGTTTTTATAAAGTAAATAGTCTTGTAGGCCTTATTTTTTCTCACACTTTCCAAAATTCTGAGTATAGACGAGCTCATAGTACACTATATAGTAAATTATTATAAATATCAATGAGAACCAGCTGCTTCTCAATAGTTTTCCAGCAGAGACCTTTCTCAAGAAGAAGAATTTGCCAGTATTGTTGAAGGGTTAGCACACAGCCCTGTAAAGTGGTAATCTAATATTGCTAAAACACTACTTTATTGTCTGAGGTTTTATGGGTAATGCCACTAAAAGGATTAACTTCCACAGAGCTGCAGTTGAGCAACCTAATCTCTACCTTCAAGGCAGAGATGCCAGGTCTTTAGCTATTTAGGGGAACAATATGGATGTTAGTTGTTTTCTAGACTTCTTGATACTCCAAAAATATTATTCCAGCTTACTATTTATGTATAGTTAAAGCCAAAATATTTGAAAGGACTTTTTTCAAGTCAGCAGGATCAGAAATTTTTACTGAATTCACGTGTGTATCTGAATTTGCAATCTCTAATTAAGCCTCTACTTGTTTCCCAGCGAAGCCTAATTTTATTTGCTACATATTCTGTATTTTTCCAGATTTTGCTATTCTTTGTATAGGAACTCTCAAAGATTTACTTTTTCCCTGCCAAAAAAAAAAAAAAAGGAAAAAAAAAAGCTTTCAACTGCAGATAAAGCTAGCTAGAGAATGCATATGCCAAAGGACATTTAATAAGCAGAGAAGCATTCATATGAGAAAAGTGCTCCCAACCTATGATCAGAAACATGCACTGTCTTTGCTCGGAGGTAAGATGTGAAATCGCTGAGTCTCAATTTGCATCACAGCCAGCTGGCTCGAGAGAGTGGAGAAGATGGAGACTATCATTACGCTATTTAAATGTAAATATTTACAGTTACAAATGGACTGCCATAACAGAACATAATGGACTTTATAGCAGAACAGATTCAGTCCTTACGACACCAAATCCTGAATCTTCTCCCTATTTAAAAGCCTTCGTCACAACTATACCAGGCCAACATGCAACCCCAGTGTCATAAAGAAGCTCTACGTTATGTTCTCCAATCAGAGTCCCATGTATTCCACAGTCACAGGCAGATGCTGCTCTGGTCCCTGTCCCACTTTATCCCTGCCTGAAGGACAGCTCTGCATTGTCCATAGCAGCCTCTTGGAGCATCAGGTAGAAAGCAAACCTTAGAAAGCATTCAGAAAAGCAGCTGTACCTGGAAGATGCCTAGCACATAGACCAAGGCACAGCAGGGACAATACTGCCTGATGCCATATGAAGGCTGGATGCCAACATTCTTGAAAACATTCACAAGGAATTATTGTCCTGTCTTAAGTGTACAACACTGGTTTTAGTCTCTTCATCCAAGTCATTCAGCTTTGCTGCCAATCAGGTCACTTTGTTGTCTAAGCAGTGGTGGGTTTATGAAAACAGGCATTCAAAGTAAAAGAAGCAGAGAGAAAGAGAAAAGGAGGAAGGGAGAAAGAAAAGTGCCACAGTGACATTTATTCAAATAAAACTCCTTGAGAAAATATCTCAGTGCAATGTCTCAAAAGTGAAATGGCAAACTACATTAAATCACTAAGGCCTCTATGCATACAGTGTTAAGTCTACCCTACATTACTACCTGTACAATAACTCTTGGAAGAGTGATGACTTCTTTGCTTCCCCTGCCAAAGAGATAAAATCTATCAAAAAGGAGGATGACAATAGTTAAAAAATGTGAATGACAAGCCTTGAAGAAAATTTGTCTACAACTACTTACTTTTATAAGCTATAGCCAAGTATGCCTTCAGTTATTTGCACTGCCACTGTCCCATAGTGGTTCTTAGCACCAGAAGCTACCAGGTAAGCACTCTGTAATAGGTATATTCGAAAGGAGGGTTCTCAAAAATGCTGGTGCCAAGCACCATTCCTGCAAAATGGAACAGGGTTTGGCAGCTGTGTCTCTTCACTGTTTGATGGAAAAAATCTCTAGAGACAATCTAGAAGCTTTGATATAAGAAGCAGCAATATATCAGTTATTTTCAGGGAGCTGTGATGAACAAGTTGGCAGATCAGTGTTTCTGAAAATCAAAGTTAAATACCACTCCAAAGTCATAAAAGACTTCATCTACTTGTCAGTGTGCTTAGTATTCTTTAGCTGCAGTGTTCTTCTTAAAGAGGAAGAAACAGACCCAGTGAGCACTACAGAGGATGTCTAAAGAGGAACAAGATTTCTCAAGTTCCTAAAAACCAGTCATTTTGCTTATCCTGAAGTTTCCATTCTCCTCTAGAAAGCAAGAAGAGAATGAAGAGCTGGCACAGGTATCTCTCTCATTGAAATAATCTGGCAGTATTTGCATTACAAACTACCACATCTACAGCTCACCTAGAGCATGTTAAGTACTTTGAAAATGGAATGTTCACGATAATCAGGATTTCCTGGGATAAAAAAATCAAAAAAAGACTTAATGTCCATAAGACCATTACATAGCAGTAAGAACAATTCAAAGATACCATTTGAAGATTGAGATGATAGGATAGCAGTGGGTCCCTGGAATAGAGGAAGCATGTACTTGCAGTTTGGGTAAGAAAATATTATTTCCACGTTCTATATTTCAACTGTTCTTCTATAATGGTCAAGTTCCTACAATTAACACCTTTCCCTCTCTCTCTTCTGTCAGTAATGGTTTGTCTGGCCCATTAGTTTTCTTAAGTGTCTATAACTTTCTAGAAATTTCATTTAGCAAACACTTCATCTTATGAAAGGGTCTGGCCCTCACAAGAATGAACAAGCAAGGACTTCCTGTTATCCCCACCCTCAGTACAGAAAACAGTGCATCACAAAAGGATGAAAATTACAGATGAGCACCTTTAAATTACCATCATCTGATTGCCAAAGCTAAATTCCTAAAGCTCCTGTTAAACTTCATGTGGAGTGTGAGGAGCTCAGTCCACCTCCAAAAACACATTTCAGGAAGGAAATAGGTACCTTCTAAAATCCTGCTGCCCAAAGGGCAATGCAGGCTCTTGCGATGAGTTGGTCCAAAATAGCCCTGGAGCAAGCCAATTCCCAGACATGAGTTATCTCACATCACCTGCATACAGGAGCAGTAAAATGTACATTCTTCCCAAAGCAGGTTAAAAACACTCCAAATCAAAGGAAATGCAGATCCCAGAAGCTGCCTCAGCCCCAGTTGCTCAAAGTAAATAAATAAATAAATATTTTGAAGAAAGCTTTGCATCTTTACACTTCATTGAATTATCTTTACATCTCTGTTTTGAAAAATGAGTGGAAATGTTCATACAAGCATGTACATAGGAACTTAGGGGGAAAAAAGGGATTTCCAAACATAATTTTCAAAAGATTTTCTGAAACTTTTGTGAAAGAAAAAGAAGAACTTACTACTTCTTAAGATATAAAGTAGAATTTCATGCTTCCCCTTACACGTACACAAATGCTCCTATCTCACCAACCCCAACAGTTTACCAAGTTAATTTTAGAAGATGTCTATAGCAACCTCCTCTATAGAATTTGGTAATAGCTCTGTCTTTTAGCCACAAAGACCTGCTTCTCTGTTGGCTCTCAGTTATCCTCACACATCTTTCTTTTCCTCTGTTATTACATGGAATTAACAGAGCAGAAATGCTAGGTCTCAGTCAGGTTCAAGCCTCGTCATACTTCAGTAGCAGTTAATTTTTTCTCTCCTCTCCTCTCCTCTCCTCTCCTCTCCTCTCCTCTCCTCTCCTCT